CCGCTCTCCCCCCCCGTACCGCCTCCCTCACCTGTGGGAGGTGTCAGCCCTCAGCAGCAGCAGCAGCAGCGCCACCGCCTCCTCCTCCGCCTCCTCCTCACATGGTTCGTGGAGGAGGGGGTCGGGCCCCACCGTGCAGCATGGCCAGGGCAAGGAGAAGGTAGGGACGCCCCGGGCGACGGAGGTAGGTGAGGGAACGGGGCCAAACCTGAGCCGCACCAGGGAAGGCCGCCTCCGATGTCGTCGTCGTCGTTGTTTCGGGCCAGGAAGCCAAGCCAGCCAACGAACGAACGAAGGAGCGAGCGAGCGAGCGCGCGCCGGGGTGAGTGTGTCGACTGCAATCGCCGCCGCCGCCGCCGCCGCCGGGTCCTAGCGCTTGGACGTCACATGCCCTGACCCAACCGCAGTAGCCCCGCCGCCTTATGAGGAGGAGAGAGGAGAGCAATGGGAGGGGAGCGAGCGGGTGGATCCTAGCCAGAGTACGCGCCTCGTCTCCACGCCCTCAATTGCCCTGCCTAGGACCGCGGTGAAGTTGGAGTAGAGTGGGTGGGACGATGGGGGTGACGATGAATTAGGATCAGTGCGGTGTAGTGGGCAGAAGGACGAAGTAGCTCTCAGCAGCCCTGGGTTCGAATCCCCACTCGGCCACGGCGACTCACTGGGGTTAGTTAGCAGCACCGGTAAAACCACTCCTTAAATGTCTCACATGCCTTGGAAACCATAACATCTGCCATAACTTGGATATTATGCACATAACCACAACATGAATGAGTGACTTGCAAAAGGCCCTGCCATTAACAGGCCTGCTCAGATATTGAAAACTAAGGAGGACATTGGCACTCTTCCTCAAAGAGAACGTTGGTAACCTGTGCTGAAGCTTAGCTAATCGCGGTGAGGTGTACAGAGCACATGTACACAGAGAAAATTCCCAGCAAGACTTTTGCCTGTAAAGTTGGCAAGTTACTGCCAGTGAGAGCCAGGGAAGGCAGGGGGAACTATGGCCCTCTGAAAAGTCCTGGACTCTACTTCTCACCAGCTAACCAGCAAAACCAATAGTAAGACAAGATGAAGCTGGCATCCAAGAACATTTGGAGGGCTATAGATTCCCCACACCAGTGTTGTCCATACTGAGTAAATTGGATCAATGGCCTGGATCTTTGTAATTTATTTTTCCAAAGCCTTTAGTTCTTATTCAAACATGGGGGGGGGGGCTGCTGCTCCTTAGATAAGAAATGGCACCTTGCACCTCCATGGATTTGTTTGCACTGGTTCCCCCATGTGTGTACATCATTTGATCAGCCAGTTCAGTCCATGCACCTCAGGTAAAGTCAATGTGATGGTGAGAGAGCCGGGCCTGAGAGATTCAAATCTCTTTTCAGCTATGAAGCTCCCACTAGGGTTGCGATCATAGTACTATCCTCCCTTATGGGACTACTGTCAGAGAAAAGCAAAAGAAAAGCCATGTACACATTAACAATGCAAATAAAAATGTCTAAGTGATGGGGGAAAAGAAAGAGCAAGTGAATTTACTGCCTTTCATACTTCAGCTGTTCCAGGGCTGAGTCCTGGCATTCTAAACAGCTTGCAGAGCACCACCTTAGCTTCACTGCAGAGTGCCTGGTGAGAGAGGCGGACAGGTATGCACTTAAAAGCAGTTGCTAGGGAAATGAAGATGGGTGTGTAGTCCCTTTTATATGAAGAAGAGACAGTAGCGGGCAGGCACTTAGTAAAAGCAAGTGGGAAAGAAATTACAAGTGACAGAAGATGTACCCTTTATCTTAAAGGTACAGGATTGCCATAAGATGGATTTATATTGCAGTAGGCTGTTGTTAGGATGACTAGGAGAATAGCATAAAAGACTCATATCTTCAGAAGATGTACCCTTTATCTTAAAGGTACTGCACAGGATTGCCATAAAATGGATTTATGTTGCAGTAGGCTGTTGTTAGGACTAGGAGAATAGCATAAAAGAGTCATATCTCAGGAGTTGCTAAAGGGGTACTTGATTGCCAATAAACTTTCGTTATAATGGTAGAGGCCAAGGAGAAAATGGCAACATGCTGGATTAACACCCATCACTATAAAAGAAAAACTTTTTTTGAATAGAAGCAGCAACAAAAGGAAAATGGAAATAAGTAAGGGAAGGGACCAATTCCTTGTATGGCTTTTGATGGTATTTACAGGAATTTGTGATGTCATCACACTAAAAGACATGGAGGTTCTCATTGGGAGTGTATTGCAAATATTGGACGGCCAGTTACTGCAGCCAAAAATGTTGGGCTGCTAGGAAGCCTATATTTCTGGGGTTAACACAGAAGTGCAGATAGGGCACTAAAAGAATTTCACACAGTGCTAAATAAATTGTCAGTGAATCTCCAAGGTAGGGCCATAGCAACAGGTCAACAGAGGTACATGTGGGATGTAAGTGTATAAATATACAGACAGCAGTAGATATTTAAAGGAGCTGGTGGAAACTGTTGCCAGGCAGATGAGGAGGTCGTTCCATGTGCCACAGTCTCTAGAGACTCCACTCTGGATCCAAAAACAACATAAAATGATGCTTGGGAGGGGAGAATAAGACAGCTGCACAAAAGGATAACCTTTGTTTCTCCCATTAGAGTAGTCTCTGAATGCCACAAAAGGAAAATGTTGTATAAGATTCTACTTTCCCAACACAGAAATGAGGAAACAGGGACTCTCCAAAACGTTGGACTCCATCTCCTTTTATCTCATCAGCCATGTGAACAAGGGCTAATAAAATGCAGAGAAACATCTGGAATGCCACATATACCCCACCCATTATTCTAAAGCCTAACCATACTTCCTGTGAAGATGCTGATGGAATGTAGAAGTTTCAGTCGTAATATACATATTGTATTTTGGTCTCAGACCTAATATATATTGTGCTTTAGCCTCTGCATCTACTCAGCCATAAAAAAATAAGGGGATTGCTGGACTGCAGCAAAGTTCATATAGTCCACATCTGGTTCCCAGAAGTGGACTTTCCACAGGCTGGTAGGGTAACCTAACCTTCCCCAGCTACCTCTAAAGTTTCATGCTTCTTCATGTCTGTATATATGTGTAATATATATTTAAAGCAGGGATAGGGAAACTGTGGCAGTCTAGGCATTGTTGGATGGCAACTCCCATCATCCCCAACCTTGCTTTTAACAGACTGGGCACTGTTAACTATTTGCATCTTAATTGTGCTTTTAATCTGTGTTTTTATTTGAAAAAAAATCTACTTCTGTTTTTATTCTGTTGTTATTAGCCAACTTCAGTGTCATTTTTTGCATTTATTATACAAAGGTCATAACTAAATAATTAAATATCATAATTAAATAAAGCACGTGCAACTTCCTTTTGGCCAAAAGAAGAGGTCACAACAACACATTGCTTTCCTACCTCTAACCCTCCGACCATGTGGATTTCCACCTGCACAGCTTCTTCTTCTTTCTCTCCCTCTTTTTTAAAAAGCGAAGGATGGAGCTAAAACCCTGCTACTGCATCTCAAGTCACTGGAGGTGGAAGAACTACAGTCTCAATTTTAGCTCAGTTTGTAGCAATCTGTTCCACACAGCTCTAGGATTAAGGCAGTTCACAGATTTGAGGGGAGAGTGTGTGCGGTAGGGATAACAAATCCTTCAAAGCAGGGGTGCTTTGAAAAGCCTTTGACAAGCTCCCCCCACATTGAAAGAGGCGTATGGTGGGCCTTAGGCGCTGCAGGTGCCCAGTACAAATACCTGCTGCTGACCTCAGCTTCCCGGCTGCTAGCGGTATTGGGAGCCTGGAGCTGCCGCCACAGCCCATGGGCCCCTCCCTTCCCGAGATGCAGAGGCCGCCGCCAACAGTGCCCACAGAGCACATCTCTGGTGGCTGCAAGAGGAACTGAAGCAGAAGGCGGGGGGGGGGAGGAGAGAGAAGGAATCAGAGGGCGGCTGGAGGACACAGGAAGAAGCATGCGGACATAAAATCCCACCGCCAAGAGGGGAAGAAGGGTGGAAATGTGCATACCTGTGCCCAAGCACGGCTCAGAAAGGGCAATAGGGAGAGCGAGAATCTACAGGGAGCAGGAGGCGGGTGAGAAATGAGAAAGAACAAACCTTTCTCAGTTCCCAATTAGCTCCATTCTGTGTTGAATCCAGCTGGCTGAGTCAGCCAGAAGCAGCAAAACAACTCATCATTGTTATCTGCCCTCCTCAGCTCCGCCTCTCACCCCACAAGCCGGAAAGCTGCTGGCTCCTTAATAAATCATTGTTAAAGGTTGGAAAGCTGTTTTGCAGCTGGAGAAACTGAGGCACAGATCTGAGAGCAGTGGCCTCAGCCTGTCCTCAGGGCCTTTCAAAAGAGGAGAAAGACTCCAGGGTCATACCACAGCACTGAGCACTCCCTCTCACTGCATGATCACAGGAGCTATGCAGCCTTCTCTTGAAGGAACAATATTACAGCCTTTATATTGTCTTTGGAGGAGAAGATGGAGGGAAATGGTTTGTTCCCAGATTCCCCCCTCTCCTTCAGGTCTTCACCTCTCCACACAGATACTGTAAAGATATTGGTATACCCAGGGATTTAGCGCCAATGATTAGCCAAAGAAAATGTTCGCTACAAAAAACAAGTCCACATCAAGTCCACATGAAGAGCTGGGAGAAGAAGCACTCTGTCAAAAGACTGTACATTTTATAGTTGCTCTTCCACAAAATACATTGACAATATAGTTGGGCCATCCAATATCTGAAAGGGTAAAAGGTATCAATATAATCAAACACCACTAAGAAGTTTGATAAGCCTGCTGGTAAGCCATACAGTGAGCCAGTATGGTATAGCGCACTAGTTCTTAACCTTGGGTTACTCAGGAGTTTTGGACTGCAACTCCCAGAAGCCTTCACCACCAACTGTACTGGCTGGGGTTTCTGGGAGTTGCAGTTCAAAAACATCCAAGTAACAAAGGTTAAGAACCACTGGTATAGTGGAAGGAGAGACAGACTAGGATTCAGATGATTTGGGTTCAGATCCAGCTAACCATGGAAACTCACTGGGCTGTGTGTGCCAATGCTAAAACTATTCCTTAAATATCTCAAATACATGAAAGCCCTATAATGGTTGCTATAAGTCAGTTCTAACTTGATGGTATATATTACACACAGAATGTACTATATTTCTAGGGCAGTCTTCTCTGACTGGGGCCCTCCAGATGTGTGTGGATTACAGTGTCTATCATTCCAACAACTTTAAGCTACACATCTGGAAGTGAACAGCTCCTATAGAGAACATTCAATTTTAAAAAAGTATGTCCATTAATACAATAATCCAGAATATTTTAACTCTAACCTTGTTGGTGGTGGGTTTTTTGTTTCTTTTGTTTTTGAACTTTCCAACAACACAATTATCTTGAAATCTGTGAAACATACAAGGTACATTCTATTTGTCATTTACAGAAGGGCCTGATGC